AGCAGATGGGTTGAGTATTGAGTGTTTTCACTTATTCCAGACCATTTTCAGTTCCAAAAACATGGCAAATTCTTCCATCAACTTCTTGAACTGACCAAACTCTCTTAGTATTTGATGCTGCATTAATCTGAGTTCTTTACTCTCATCATTTGGGGGTGTTGTATTAGCTCAGAGCACCATTCTTATTCTTGTTTTTGACTGTTTCTGATTGTTGTGGACCCTCATTCCTGGTTTATTCTTCATACTACTAGAAGCAGTTTAGCGAATTATTTTAGGAAAATAAATTGTAATCAAGTGCCACTGTGATTAGTGAATACAACTAAGTGAAGCCATCATATTAATATCATTATATTTTAGCTAATATCCAAAAACTTAGTGGCTCAGGACATCAAATATTTACTGTATTGTGGTTTCTCTGAGTTAGGAATTCAGGAATGGCTTAGCTGAGTGTTCTGGCTCAGGATCTGTCATGAGGTTTATATCAGGATGTCCTAGATAGATAGTTTTCTGCATTCAACAGTGCCTTCAAGATCTGTTTCTAATATGTTCACTCATATGACAGTTGGGGTACATTGCTGGCTATTGGCAGCAGTTTATAGTGCTCCCTTCCTTGATCTATTCATAGGGTTGTGTGAGTGTCCTCACTGCGTAGCAGCTGGCCTCCCCAGAGGGAATGATCCTAGAGAGAGTGAGCCATGAGGAAGCTCTAATGCCTTTTATGACCTCCTTTCAGGAGTCACAGACTGCCACTGTTGGTTCTGCCACATTCTGTTTGTTAGAAGTGACCACTAAGTGTAGTCCATATATAGGGAGAATGGAAGGAGGCGCCACCTCTTAAAGGAAGAATTTAGAAGAATTTGTAAACATAGTTTTAAAGATAGACCGACTCTAGGGAATATTTAGCAGAGGCATTTAATTGACATCCAGCATGTGCCTATTTCTGTGTTGTTTCAGTAGTCATCTAGGCAAAGAGCAGGGAGTCCATTGATGAGAAGCAGGCGGTTTTATATAGGGGTGGGGTACTGGAAAGCAAAGAGCTACTCAGAGAGGTGGAGTTCTGGGAGCATGGGATTACCAGTTAGCCTTAAGCTGAATACAAATCAGTGCTCATATGAGAGGAAAGTATGCAAGGTTTAAAGAAAGACACTGAAAAGCAGCTCATATAGGACCAGGAATAGTTCATGTTCCTTCTAGCAGGAATGGAAAAACCTTATAATTTACAGGTATGAGGTAGAGTACTCAGTATGATGTTACTTGCTAATATTATTAGCTTAGACTTAAGGCCTCTGTCATCCAGCTTAACACATTTTAGAAACAAGCCTTATAAGAACCAAACTATTTCTAAATAACTGTCCTAGAGAAAAACTAATATTTATAGAAATACAAATATTAGTGCTCATCAAGCTGAGTCATAATGATGGCATTTAAACTGAAATTACCAGTGTTATAAAATATGCATAAGAAGAAGAAAATTCAATAGAAACTAAGTCAAAATAAAGGAATACATAGACACATATATTGATATGTGTGTGTGTGTATATATATATATATATATACTGAAATTGAACTTTTAGAGATGAAAAGTATACTGACTTGATTTAAGAGTAGGTTAAATACTGGAGAAGGAAAGATACGCAAATTTGAATGTATTGTAATTGACACAACCAATAATGAAAAGGGAGAGGGAGAATAGAATATCAGTGAGTTGTTAGCTAACTTCAAATGGATTAATATATGCATTTACAATTGGAGTCACAGAAGAGGCCTTGCGAGATTGGAAAAAGGCTTGGAAGCAGTAAATTGCTGACAGTTTTTCCACTTTGACCGTGAATCTCAGAAATAACACAAACCTTAATTATGAGACACACAAAGTATCAAACATCAAATTGCTTAAAACGAGCAGTGTAAGGAAAACTTTCAACAGGTGGTTGCGAAACATGCTCTGCATAGTAACAGAACAGTACACACTAGAAGACACTGAAAATCATCCTCAGAATACTGAAAGAATACTAAAAGAAAGAACTGTTAATCTAGAAGTCTATGCACAGTAAAATGCTGTTTCAAACAGGAAAAGGCTTTCTCACATATTCAGAGGCAGATAAACTTCATCACCACAGGAGACTTGCACTATAACAAATGTTTAAAAAATCATTCAAATATCAGCCAGACAGAATCTATGTAAAGGAAAGAACAACACTGGGAATAATAAGTACAGCAGACTTTTTATGCGAGAGCTTGTTCAGATACCAGCTTCTCCTCCGCCATCTTCCCGGAACCTGTCACAGCAGACTTTTTAAATTAACTTATAAAATAATGGCTTTTTGTACTAAAATCAGCAGTATTAGGAATATGATTTGTGGAAATGGGAACCTACTCTTGATATTAACTCCATCATTTTTAAATTTTGTTAAGAATGGTCAAATAAGCAGCACCACACATACCTGCCAAATTTGATGTTTGTGCATATTTATGGTCCCCCCCCCCCCACAGATTCCATGATATTTTTCAGGTAGCTGTGTGTTACACAAAAATATTAAAGTAACTGATAACGGAGGTGGGAGGGCAAAACAAAATGGAAATCTTTCCCTACGTTTTCTTTCCCTCTCCATTTGTTTGTTTGCACTGGCACTGGGGCTTCACTGTCCCTTAGCTTTTTTGCCTCAGACTGGCATTCTACCACTTGAGCCAGAGTTCCATTTCTGGTGTGTGTGTGTGTGTGTGTGTGTGTGTGTGTGTGTGTGTGTGTGTGTGTGTGTGTGTGTGTGTGTGTGTGTGTGTGTGTGTGTGTGTGTGTGTGTGTGTGTGTGTGTGTGTGTGTGTGTGTGTGTATTTGGAGAGAGAAGAGACTACAGACTTTTCTGCATAGGCTGGCTTCAAACCATATGAGCTACCTGCACTCAGTTTGACCATTTTCTAGATATTACTGGAATTTACCATAGGCCTAAGCTTATAGTACACATTTCATATCTCCCAACAACAATTTCTGTTGCATAAAAGAAGAATTATTACTTCAATATTGGAGAGAAGTTTTCAGTAAATAATGAAGACCCAGAAACTCTGTTGTAATCCTCTAGCATCAGAGTACAATTTTCTGCATATTGGCTGTACTACCTGGTAGGGCAGTGTCTGGCTTTTAAAGTAGAGTAATATAGAACATATCTTCCATGGACCAAGTGTGAAATACAAGAAAAAGTATGTGTGTTTTAAAATCTGTTGTAGTCATGTCTGTCTTAGCTTGAGAAATGCTTGCTTTTTCTGTCTCTTCTGAATCATGTAAAAATTCCTTGAGCATGCAGGAAAATAGAATAACATGAAATTAGAATAACATTTCTAAAGTAAAATTTACAACTGGCCCACTTTTGCACTGGCAGGCATTTGGTTTCTTTGCTATTGTCAGCATTTATTAGAGCACTGGACAGTTGGAATGCCTCTGAGCTGAGAATTTTGACAACTGAGAGCTAAAATAATTCCTTATGTCATAGAATAAGGTAGTCTTAACACAAAGGAGGGTGCACCTGGGTGATTGCTTAGGTGTATATTACCTCATTCATCTCCATTATTCCTCAGAGTCCAGAGGTAAACAGCCAAGTCCTTAAGGGTGTGTCTAATCTGGAACACCCCAGGAGAGAACAGACAAGAAATACATTGAAATTCTCTCAGAGCAAGATAAGATAGATTTTCTGGTTGTGATGTTCAGGGTTTTCCTAGGATAGAGTGATGTTACCATTGTGCTCCAAGATTATTTGGTAGAACAGAAAGCCAATCTCATAGTTGTAAAGACCCCTCCTGACCAAAGTTCAGTCTATTTGGTAATTTGTGGTAGGGCTTTCTTTAGTGCATGTATGGAGATGGAGAATTGAAAGGCTGTCCTGATATACTCTGTTTGCTTTTTCTCCAGTTTCTAGTTATTCAGAGATCTAAATCAATGTGACAGGTTAACAAGACTTTGAATTCTTAAAACTGTCTCTTTCATTAAATATTTGGTGGTGATGTTATTTTTCCTATCTTAATCTATAGTGTTTTCTTTTTTTTTTTTTTTTTATTTTTTTATAGTGTTTTCTTTTTTAGAGAGAAGAGTACTTTAAACCATCCAAAAAAATCTTGAATTCATCTGTTTTGATGTAAAATTAAATTTTAAGAATATAGATGGAAATAAAACTTGGGCTAAAACAAATTAAATGAAGGACAATGATGAAAGGGGTAACATTGATCAAAATGCATTGGACATGTTGAAGGGTAACTCCTTTGCACACCACTTAAAAATAATAGAAATATGGCCGGGTGCTGGTTGTTCACACCTGTAATCCTAGCTACTCAGGAGGCTGAGATCTGAGGATCTCGGTTCAAAGCCAGTTCGGGCAGGAAAGTCCCTGAGACTCTTATCTTCAACTAACCACCAGAAAACTGGAAGTGGCACAGTGGTTCAAATGGTAGAGCACGCACCTTGAGCTGAACAGCTCAGGGACAGCGCCCAGACCCAGAGTTCAAGCCCCATGCCAACAACAAAAAAAAAAAGATAATAGAAATATGATTTTAACAAAAACAGGAGTTAATGTGGTCTTTTCCTTGACTTTTAAGAAAAGGCTGTTTTTACCACCTGATATTAAAATACACCAGCAGAATAAATATGGTAGTTCTTGTCATATTTCATTTCTGCAGCTGTTTCTCAGTTATACATTGTTTCACTGGTATGCAGAGGAGGAGGGGGGAAAAGCTCATTTAAAAGAATAACGTAGGCCGTTCACCAGTGGCTCACGCCTATAATCCTAGCTACTCAGAAGGATCATGGTTCAAAGCCAGCCCGGGCAGGAAACTCTGTGAGACTCTTATCTCCAGTATACCACTAGAAAACCAGAAGTGGGGCTGTGGCTCAAAAGGTAGAGCGCTCGCCTTGAGCTGAAGAGTGCAGGGACAGTGCCCCGTTCAAGCCCTATGACTGACCAAAAAAAAAAGAAAAGAAAAGAAAAAAGAATAACCCGTTTGCTTGTGTTTGTTTTTAGGAAAGCCTCACAGCACTGGTAGTTCTGAACGTATTCAGCTCTCAGGAATGTACAATGTTCGCAAAGGCAAAATGCAGTTACCAGTGAACCGGTGGACACGACGCCAAGTTATCCTGTGTGGAACCTGCTTGATCGTATCATCTGTGAAAGACAGTCTGACTGGAAAGATGCATGTTCTGCCATTAATTGGTGGAAAAGTAAGTTTAACCCCCCCTCCCAAATAATAAAAGATATTTGCATTGAGCCATTTCTGTACTAAATAGTAGATGATTTTGACTCATTTAAGGTTGTGGTCTACCAGTGGGTATTGTTGGTTAATGAAGTTGCAGAAAATAACAGTGACATTAGCCCACCGGACATCTTGGTGATCTTGACTTTATTAGTATATGCTGCAGTTTACGAACTAGGATGAATAGGGATCAGATAGACTTTCACTGTTTTATTTTAGACTGTAGATGATAAATTCAATGCATGTTGACATTCCTTGGTAACTGTGAACATGTACTTTGTAGTACAGAATACTGATCTCTGGACAGGATCTTAGGAACATTCAAATAGCTTAAAGCTACTAGCATCCAAGTCTTCCATCACATTTTACTCCTTAGCTCTGTTTACTTTGTTTACTGAGCAGTGCAATAATTAGTACTGTGGCTGATCATACATCTTAACTGGAAATGTTACTGATTTCAGGTATACCCAACAGATATTTTGGACAAGTTGACTATCTTATGCCTATTATTTATAAAACAGAAAGAACCAGATTGGTTGGGAAAACAATGTCTTTGTCAGATTTTTAAAATAACAAAGTGTTGGTAGTAGGTTAGCATGATCACAGTTATATGTCAATATGTCTTGAAGTTTTGAATGATATGATCTGCTAATAAATAGGAAGGGAGTAGGTGAGGAAACAAGTTGGAAGGGGAAAGAAAATAGCAGTGTAGGGAGGCAAGGGGGAGGATGGGAAGGGATGGGAAGGGGAAACAAAGGAGGAGGCTACAATGCTTGATAAGAAATGTACTCATTATCTCGCCCATGTAATTGTAACTCCTCTGTACAGTAGTTTCACAATTAAAAAAAAAAAAGAAAATAGCAGTGTAATAAGAGGGAAAATAAGAAGTCAATTTTTGTTTAAGTTTTAACTTGGCTCTAGGGATGGATAATGAAAATAAGACTGGATCTGTATAGTAACAATTGTTTTGTTGTTCAGCTACTATGTAGCAAGCTCATTATTCCTAATTTTAAACTAGTCTCTTCTTGTGAGTAGTCTATATTGGTTGTTTTCCCCTGTACTATTGAACAGTCTATCCTAAGAAGGCTAATACTTGATGTGGGATGCACATTTAGATCTATTTTAGGCTTTCATTTTAAAGCCATTACTTCTTAAAAAAAATTAAGTAGTGTACAAAGGGTTTTCAATTCCACAAGATGGTGAGTACAATGTATCTTAATATTACTCCTTCCATTGTTCCCCCTATCTTTCCCCATCCCATCCCCATTACTTATCTTTTTAAAGATTTTTAATTGGTATTCTAAAGGGGATGTACACTTATATAAGTTGAGTAATGAGTGCATTTCTTTTTGGACAGTGTCGCCCCTTCTCTTACTCTGCCAATCTCCACTGCTTCTTAACTTTTGCATGAGCATTAAGAATCAGTGATGTAGACTAGTTACTTGTCTTTTGGATGAATTACTGAAAAATCATCATCAGTTCTATTTTAAGCCATTTTCTTAAATACATATTTTAATGTTTGATGGTATGTTATTCCAGCACCAATCTCTTCTCTATGATGATAAGTGTTTTTATAGGCAAATGTAGTATAGCTATTAAGTATCTCTTAGGGAAGGCATTGTGCAAGGTACCTCCAAAATACCAATGTGCATAACTCACCATCTTAGTTTATAATTTCATGTCAGGAGATGAAGGAGAACTACAGCAATATCTGCTGTAAGTGAGCTACAGAAAAGAGAACAGTACTATGGCAGATTAATGGAAGGAGAGATTGCATTTGAGGGGAAAGATTTTATAATGAAAGCGTAGCAATTAATGATTGAACTTGAAGAGTGATGAATCTGCTGACAAATTAAGGAGATGGTGAGAAAGATTTTTGTCATGTTGAGAGAGACCAAGACAGGAAAGCATGTGGAATGTTCAGGTGAGGTCAGAAAAATTCAGTTATAATTAGCATTTTCATTCAGCACTGGAGCCCTGTCCTGTTTCCCAGGCCTGTTATTGGATAGAGTTCTTCTATTGAGTGAATTGAAAGTTAATAGCTTCCTTTTTTCACTAGCAAACCTTGTAAAACCTGTTTTGCATTATGCCTTTAAAAATAATTGAGTACATTGAAATACTGAGCCTTTAAAACCTGTTGACCCAGTTAGGGAAGGAATAATTCACTTTTTTGTAATCTGAACTTTCATTAGTGTTTGTCTGTTACTTTTTTCCCATTGTTAAAGGAAAAACAGTAAATGGAAGTTTTGCTTTTTCTTTCCCCTTTTAAATTTATATATGTGGAAGAGCTAGAATTAAGGTAAAGCTACGTGGGTCAAAACTATAACAATAATTGCTATGTTGTCAAATTCATATATCACTGGAGTATGGTGGTAATTCCATTTTCAAATAATAAATGTCTTTATTAAGTAAAGCTCTTTTACAATTTGATTGTGAAAAATATTTATTTAATAAAGTTATGTCTTATGGTGCAGCTATGCTATAGTTAATTTGACGTGGAATTTAACATAGAATTTTGATACATTATTAAAATACATTTGACTATGTTTTATAATTGAGCAAATAAATTGAGTAACTGTTAAACTCTCCCAGTCAATTGGGAATTGTAGTAGTGCCAGTGTCTTTCTGCCTGTGTTCTCTTTTCATCTGTCCTGTTGTTTGTCATAACTCTGGAGGTAACCACTGTCCAAGAATGGGTGGCCATAATTTCAATTCATTGTTTTTGAAATTAGCTTTTGGACTGTATCAAAATGATTTTTTAGCCCAGTATTGTTTTACAATAAGATTTCATTTTATGTGGTTTTTATTTCTGTATAATGTTCTACTATGTAAACATTCCATAATTTCTAGTTTCTTAAGTAATTTTCCTGCTGATGGGTTGCTTCCAGGATTTTGTTGTCATAAACAGTGCTGTTGGCATAATCTTTTGGTGATAATGAATCCTGGTATGCAAGTATTTTTTTAGGGCAATTGTTGGCAATAGAATTACTGTGCCTGAGGGACATTTGGCAATATGTGGGAGTGTTTTGATGGTCAAAAGATTACAGTTAACATTTAATTCAGGCTTGCTATACCATGGCAACAAAACCTCTCAAATCTTGTTGAGTTGTAATTATTTCTCACTCCACTATGAATGGGTGGCATTGTCAGGAAGGGTGGATGTTTCCATTTTTACGCCTTGTGGAGGGAGGGACAAGACTCATAGAGGCTCCTTCTTTTGTAATTTAACATTTGTGAAATATGGCAGGGGAAGAGATAACTAGAGTTCCATTCACTGGCTTTTGTAGATTGAGATGGAAAAGTGACACATGCCACTCTGTCAGAGTGGTGACCCTTTGTAAAGGTCTAGGAAATGGGGTGAAGAAGATAGTGCACAAGGGGCAGATATCACACAAAAGATTACATGCTTCAGTAGACAATGAAGAGCACTCAGCCCCAAGTCCTGTAGTTACCTCCTTCAGAATGCAGTTCTTGGGTAAATTCTTTGAAATTGTTCTTAGATGGATTGTTTGACATTATTATGTAGCTAATCTTACATATTCAAATAAAGACAGTTTTCTTCTTGTTCTTTTTTTGTCTTGCCTTTTGTTACAGACTCTTTTTTTTTTTTTGGGGGGGTCCGGTTGTGGGGCCTGAACTCTGGGCCTGGGCACTGTCCCTCAGCTCTTCAGCTCAAGGCTAGCACTCTACCACTTGAGCCACAGCGCCACTTCTGGCTTTTTTCTTTTTGCTTATGTGGTGCTAAGGAATCGAACCCAGGGCCTCAGGCATGCAAGGCAAGTGCTCTACCATTGAGCCACCTTCCCAGCCCCTTGTTACAGACTCTTATCAAAGATTTTAAAGCAAGTGTAATTACTGAGCTGTGGGGCATATGTGTCTTTATTTTTACAGGATGATACTTAATTGTTTTGTAAGGTTGTTATGCCATTTTGGACTCACTTTATAAGGATTCTTGTTTTTCTGTGTAGCAGTACTTTAGTGAAATAGTAAATATTTTTTGATATCAGGAATCAAACTCTGCTCTGTAGTTGCTAGGCAGGTTTCCCTAGATGGCACATTGGCATGAGTTTGATAACTCTGAAGTCCAGTGAGCACAATTTGATACTAGATATAGTCATTAAACCATTACCACATTGAAGGTAACAAATGCACCCTTCACCACCTAATATAATTCCCACAGATTCTTTGAAATTATTATGTAGCTAATCATACATATTCAAATAAGGACAGTTTTCTTCTTGTTCTTTTTTTGTCTTGCCTTTTGTTACAGACTCTTATCAAAGCTTTTAAGGCAACTAATGGCTTTATAGTGCTAATAATGGTAAGCTGACTTTCCTTATCTGAGGTAAATTTAAGTTGGTTTTGGTGTATTTTTTTCTTTGTTATTGTTTTGTTTGTAGCTATGCTGGGATTGCACTCCAATCCTTGTGCTATCTAGGTCAGTGAGCTATATCCCCAGCCCTTTTGCTTTTCATATAAAATCAAATTGGTTTTCATATAAAATCTCGTACATTTTTCCAGTGTTGGTTCAAATGTCTTATTCACCTCCAAATGTAGCTGGAATTATAGGCATGTGCTACAACGCTTGGTCCATTTTATAACATGGCCACACTTTTTGCCCTGACTGGCCTTAAACCATGATGCTCTGGTCCTGCCTGTGGGCTAGCTGGGATTACTGGTGCATATCACCAGGCCCCATCTGCTACTGGATTCTGATTTCATATCGGAAGAAGTTTCATTAGATAAGTCTTTATAACTGAGGTTGCCTCTAACTTTCCTTTCTGTTAGTCGTTTGATCTGGTTTTGGTTATACTGGCCTGGGTTAGGTATTATTATGTTTTAAAATTTTTCTTTGATAAGTGTTTACACAAACTTGGAATGATCTTTTTTCTGGAAACTGGGAAAACTCACCCTGTAAAATCATATGGGCCTGATTGTTTTTGTCAAAGAAAATTTTGGTACTCATAAATTTAAAAAAATTTTTGAAAAGTGATTATAGGACCATTTTGGCCTTTCTCCCTCCCTTGGTTAATCGTTGGTAAACACATACACACATACACACACACACACACACACACACACACACACACACACACAAAATCTACATAAAGTGCTTTATACTCTTGAGTGACGCAGTAGCCCTGTTCTTGTTTTTGTTGTATCATTTATGTGCCTTTTTTTTTTCTTGAAAATACCTGCCAGAAAATATTACTAGCCTTTGTAGTGAGTCTGCCTTTTGTTTGGTTAATGTTCTCTGTGTACGTTCGTATCTCATGTCAGCCATTTCTGTTTTTATAAACATCACTTTTTATAAACATCACTTCCATTCAGTCCTGGATTTATTCAGTTTTTGGCCTTGATTTTTTTTCACCCCCAAATTCTAAAATCTCATTCAAAGCATATTAAGTTCTGCTTTCTTTAGAATGTACAAATTTCCTTCTATATCTGCTTTTGTGGTATTCCACAGACTTCCTTGTATAATATTTCATGATTGTATAGTTTAAAATTTTTTTAAGTTATAATTTGTTTTAGGTTATAATTCTAGGTCATAATCCTTTTAACCTGTGAGATGTTTGGAACTATAGTACTTTAGATGTATGTTATTTAGAAATGTTATTAATTTTCTAAGTATATAGGATCGATTTCTAACTTAATTGGCTTTGGTTTTATATGTTCTGTATGACTTGTCTTATGGTCATCTTTGTAAGGGAAATACAAGAGGATAATATGTTACTTTATTGTTTAGATATTTCCTCCTGGGAGTGTACATTTGATTATTTTGACTATTTTCCCATTAAAAAGTTTTAAAAACTTTAAAAAGAAGTAAGTCTCTTTAAAAAGAACTTAGTCCCATAAGTAAATATCTTCCTAAGAAGGAAGTAAGGGCCCGAAAGTTTTATTGTGAGGGTATAGAGAAATAAGAAGTCTGTACCACTTTTAAACAGGAAGAAAAGATTTTTCATTGCTGGGAAAAATCTAATGAAAACTCCCCCGAGGCCCCCCATCCTCCCCGCTTCTTTTTTTGTTTCCTTGTAACTCACATTGGTTGGTCAGCTGCAGGAACTTATAAGTAAGGAAGACTATGGGAGAAAGGTGCAGATCTTTGTGTGCTTACTGATCCAAGGTATAGTTCAGGAAATACGTTAGTGGTTCTGTTCTCTTACTGTTTTTTCCTCTCTTTGCTTTTTAGGTAGAAGAAGTGAAGAAGCACCAGCACTGTTTAGCATTTAGCTCCTCTGGACCTCAAAGCCAGACATACTACATTTGCTTTGATACTTTCACTGAGTATTTAAGGTGGCTGAGACAAGTCTCCAAGGTAAGCAGCACTCACACATGAATCAAGATTTGTTTCTGTTTCACCCATAGTTGTATACAAAACATATCTATTTATACTTTGTTTTCCCAGATACAACCAATGATAAGGAAGTTTTAGTTTTTTTAAACTGTAACTGAAAAACAGCTTACTAAAAATTGATTTTATTTAGTCTTTTTACTTAAATTTAGTGGGTAGATCAACACATCTTGAGATTAAAAATGTGATTAAGAATATGTAAGGGACTATCCCAGGGTAGAACACAAGACCACAGAATACCCAGAGAATTATTACAAATTTCCCACTTCCTGTCACTATATTTTCATATAGTCTAATCTTGTGCCATATCCCTTTTAAGCTGTTAGTGTACCATTCACCTTATTTTGACCTTATTTTCAGATTCCCCTGATTATATGAACTGACCCTGTCTCATTAAATTATGTACCTTTGTATGCATAGTAGAAACCGGAGCAACATTATAAATATGATGGTAAATGGTGGGGTTTTTTGGGGATTGTGTGAAAAAGGTGTTTTGCGTGTCAGGTGATGTTTGATGGAGTGACTGCTGCTCTAGCACTTTGATTTTGGATATGTTTTTGAAATGATGCAACCTCTAGGACCATTAAGACACAATTTACTTTTATGGTTTTGAATCTAGAGTCCAATTTGTTATTCAAGTTTAGTGTGAGTCATATTTGCTGTGTGATATAATTACTTGCCAGTGAATGAATAAAAAAATAACTTTTTAAAACATTTAACAGAAAGCTAGAGTATGTCTAGAAAGTCTTTTTGCAACACTACGTTTGAATTATCAGATTAAAAACTGTTCCATGGTGATGTTATATCATTTAGAAGCATTAGTTTCTCCCTTTCCTGGAGAAGGCCGTGGGCAGGGTTTTGATTGATTGCACTTAGATTTTCTAACCTAATAGACAAAGGGAGGATCTGTCTGTGTAATTCAGCACCCCTACAGGTGAAAATGGGAAAGGCAACACTTTGCCTTCAGACTTTCATGTGGGATTAATGTGATAGATCAGTACATCTGTCTAGTTGCTTTACAGTTACTTTGTGATTGCAAATATGAAAGACAAGTATTAAATAATACGCTTTTTATATCTAAGTGGTTGTGCTTTTTATTGTGTTGTTTTATATATATATATATATAATTAAGTAGTCATGTAGGTCCAAAGGAAATCAATTGCTGACACTGCGTTAATCGAAGTATAGTAAATTGCTTGCTATACTGAGATAGTGAATTTTTAAAGTAATCTTATTTAGATATGTTGGAAATTTTTTATGTGAAGGAAAGTTTGCAGAGTATAGTTTCCATATGTCACACATTAAGTTCCTAAACATATTGTTCTGAAACATTTTTCAAAATTGGAAACGCAGATATTTCTCATGCATTCCTCCGGACTCTCTTCTAGGCTTCCTTTGTGTCCCACTGGTTGTTCCATAGTCCCCTTTTGGTTCCAGTTTCTAATCCAAGGTACCACATGGCATCTGGTCATTGTATGTCCCTTATGTCCTATGATCTGTGACAGGATTTTAGTCTTTCTGTTTTTTATGGTTATGAGATTTTTCAGGAATACTGGTGAGGTGTCTTAGAGAATGCCCAGTGAGGGGATGTGCTGATCTTTCAGATAGAAAGTAGAGTAATGCATTTTATTTTTTTTATTTTTTTATTTTTTGGGTCTGGTCGTGGGGCCTGAACTCTGGGCCTGGGCACCACTTCCGGCTTTTTTCTTTTTGCTTACGTGGTGCTGAGGAATCGAACCCAGGGCCTCAGGCATGCAAGGCAAGCGCTCTACCACTGAGCCAACTTCCCAGCCCAAGTAATGCATTTTAGAGTAGTTGTCAGCTGCTTCATATTCTTTCTGTAGTTAATCAGAGGTATGGATTTTTAAGCATGGATAAAGATATAAGTAAGAATGTTCACAAATGAAAAAGCATACTACAGCAGATCATTTGAAACAGTTTCAACACATACTCATAGTTTTGTATGTTAAAAATGCACATAATTGCTAACTTAATCAATCCGTGAAACATCTACCAAGCACCTTCTATTAGTCAAGACGGTTTTATTTTCCCAGGAAATAAACATGCGAAAAACAGCTTCCATTCCCCATCACTAGATAGAAGTTACCCTGGGAGAGACAAATGATTAGCAAGTAAACAGACAAGAAATACATGAACAAATAATCATAACGTACAGGGTGATAGAACAATGGGGACAGCAGGATACATCTTTCAGAGGAGCAGACGTTAAAGTGTAACTTGGTGAAGGAAGATTGTGATTATTTGAAGATGTAGTAAGACAAGCTTTCCAGACAGAGGTAAAGATAGGAAGGCCCTAAGATGGCAATGGCCATAACAGGGTAGAAAATCAAAGTAATCAGGGGTCTGCTGTTACAGAACAAAGTAAAAAGTTTAGATTTTATTATTAATATAATGGCATGCCATTAAAAAGAGCTTTCTTGTTCAGTTGTATAATCTGACATGTATGGAAACTAGATTATAGAGAACAAGAATATAACCAGCATGGCCTGGCCCTTCACAGTTCTTGTGGCTTATCCAGGCATGAAGTGAGGGTGGCTTTGCAATGCAGGCAAATATAGATATGGATATGATAGAGATTGAGTGACAGCATTACTGATAGATTACTATATTACTATATAGACAATGAAAAGGAAAGGAAGAAATGAAGAATAGTGTCTAGATATTACTTTGCATTACTGGGTAGATTGAAGCCTAAGCTAAAAGCCATAATACTCATTTAAACTAGCAAAATACAGTTTTGGACTTGAAGGCTTTTGTTCCCAAAAAAGACTAGAAATACAAAGCATAAGAGATAGGTAAATTCCCTCTTTCCCTCCCTCCCACTTTCCTTCCCTTCCCTTCCCTTCCCTTCCCTTCCCTTCCTTTCCCTTTCCTTTCCCTTTCCCTTCATTCGTTCATTCGTTCCTTCCTTCCTTCCTTCCTTCCTTCCTTCCTTCCTTCCTTCCTTCCTTCCTTCCTTCCTTCCTTCTTCCTTCCTTCCTTCCTTCCTTCCTTCCTTCCTTCTCCTTCCTCTTCCCCTATCCCCTTCCGCTATCTCCTCCCCACTTCCTCCCTCACCCTCCTCTCTCTGCTCCCTGTCTTCCTCCCTCAGGTGTTACTGGCATTTATATTCAGGGCCTGCACTTGCTTGGCAGGTGCTCTACCACTTGAGTCACATCCCCATCCCTTATTTTCACGTGTAATCTCACTTTTTACCCAGGTGCCCCTGGATTACAATCTTATTCATACTTCTTCCATAAGTGAGATGACAGCTGCATACCACTATACCCAGCTTTTTATTGAGTGGAATGAAGGTCTGATGAATTTTTTGCCTAGGATGAAGGGATCATGATCTTCCTGATTTGTCTCCTGATTAGCTAGGATTATAGGTGTGAGCCAGAGCATCCAGGCTGAACTATTGTTAAATAGAATGTCAAAATACTAACTTGTGTTACTACTGGTGATAGCAAATGTAAATTGTTCGCTTGGTTACTACTGTTTCTTATTCCTGCTTGGCTAATGTGTCATTTCTGTACTGTAGTCGTCCACCTATCAGGAGCCTCACAGTTTGATTACTCCATAAATGATGAACAGATTAAAGCATCAGACTTTGTGCTCATCCACCTTGGTGGTCAATTTGATTGCATTAAGAAATGCTTAGGAGATTAGTAAAGTACACTTCTGAATATGTCTGTGAGGGTGTTAACAGAGAGAATTAGATCATGAGGGGTCCAATCTAGTCAATGGATTAATCCTTTGATGGATTCATAATGTAGTGAAGCAACAGGAGGTGGTAATAGGTAGGAGATAGTGCCTGGGTGGAGCAACTAGGTAATTGGAGATGTGATATCAGGGTCTTTTTCTTATTCTGTCCCTTTCTGTATCTCTCTCTGCTTTGTGGCCCCCAGCTGAGAACTGCTGTTTTCTGCCATGCCCTCCCTGCAAAGATGGATTGAAATCTCTAAGATAATGAGCTTAAATAAATTATTCTTCCTGTAAATTATTCCTATCAGTTATTTGGTCACAGAGATAATACAGACCTCTTCAGTGGAAGATACAGTCGGCCCATGCTATATCGCAGCTCACTTATCATGGCTTCACTATATCGCAGGTTAAAACACATACACACACACACATGCACACACACATGCGCGCGCACACACACACACACACACACACACACACACACACACACACACACACACAAATAGTGATTCCTCATCCATCACTGGAGTTACCCAGAGACCTCCGCTATAGGTTTTCACCTGTGAAGTAGCAATAAGTGAACCATGATATAGTGTGGGAGGTCAATCTAATTCTGCTACTTCACAGATTTTCATCTGTGGTGAGGGTCTCTGGAATGTGGCTTCTGCTGTATTGAAGATGATGCCAGATGAGCACATGGATGTGGCAGAATGAGGGAGAGGATGCTTATTCTAGTTTCCTTTTCAACTGATTAGTCATTATATCTCCAGTAGAGAGAAAATGACATGTCTTCATCTAGGCATCAAATTCACACTCATGTACATACATAGGAATTTGGACATTTATAGAACACAATTTATACTTACATTGAGTTGGAGTGTTTAGGAGAGAGGAAAGACTTTGATTTAATTACCTTAGATTTTAAACTTTTTTCATCTGATAAAGGGAATAATTTTCCTCTTAGGGCTTATGCAATATGCATGTTATGGACTACATTGGCATATACAGTATATATTAGAAGGGGGTGATCTGTGTATATGTGAATGACAGAAGAAATAAATAATTGTATCTCATTCCTGTCATTCATCAGAAACTGGTCACAGGTAGTTGTGTGTGTGTGTGTGAGTGTGTGTGTGTGTGTACGCATGCGTGTGTGTGCACACACGCGCACACTTGCCAGTCCTGGGACTTGTACTCAGGGCTTAGGTGTTGTCCCTGGGCAGTTTTGCTCTACCACTTGAGCCTGTTTTTTTTGGTGG